CGGTTCAAATCCCTGCCACAGGGTGAGCTCCCGTTGCTCTGTCCCAGTTCCCGCCAACCTAGCTGTTCGAAAGCACACCAGTGCGAGTAGATAAATAGGTACCACTGCGGTGGGAAGGTAAACAGCATTTCCGTGTGCTCTGGCTTTCATCACGGTGTTCCGTTGTGCCAGAAGTGGTTTAGTCACGCTGGCCACATGACCCGGAAAGCTGTCTGTGGACAAGCACCGGCTCCCTCAACCTGAAGCGAGATGAGCAGCACACCCCATAGTCGCCTTTGATTGGACTTAACCATCCAGAGGTCCTTTGCCTATTTTTACCTCCTGTTACTAGTGCTGATCTTACTGCACTCTGCAGGTTCCTGCACTCTGCACCTTCTCCCTTCCTTGTTTCATCTCTTTTCCCTAAGACACTACGGAGATATACTTGGAGGGTCTTTCATTTTATCTCCTCAACAAACCTGTGACGCAGATTAGATAGGAACGGAATGATTTGCTCAAGACCACCTGGTGAGTTTCATGAAGGAGCATGGATTTGAACTCCATTTTCCAAAGCCAACTGTATCTACTCTTGCCACTCTTTGCTTTTCACTGAGCTCTAACCCTCAATACCTGATTGACTTAACAGTTGTCCTGCGCTCTTAGTTTACAGTCCCCCCAGCCTCTTGGCAGCAGCAGCAGAATCTGCACAGAAGGGAAGGTATCTTCCATTTGCTGTTGCTGCTTAATCATCATCCCAGAGCCCCCTAATGCTAAGGCTGGCATTGCATGCACATACAGTTTGTTTGCAGGTTTACAAGATACCCGTGCTACTGCACACACTGCCGCACTGGGGAAGGGGAGGAGAAATCAGTTTTGAAATATTTATACAACTCCAGTTGAAATGGTGTTTTTCTTTCTTTTTTTTTGGAAAGTGTCAAAACATTGCTAAGAGTTCTTTTAGAGGACATTTAGGAAGAAAGAATGGACTAAGCTTGCAGAGTTCATTCAGTCACCTGTAAAATTATTGCTGCTTGTAACCCCCCCCCCACTCCCCCTGCCCCAATTATGCTCAGGAGAAATGGCTATTAAGCAGGCAGGTAGCCGGCAGAAATGAGGCATTTTCAGGGAACCAAGAGGACCTTTGCATTCATCACGAGTGCCAATTAAAACTGTGCTGTGTGAAAGCACCCTGAGAGACACAAGATGCGGTCAAAAGCCCATTGCTTCCTCCAAATGACGGTCTGCACAGCCATTTCCACTTTGGATTGCAGATTCCACAATACTCCGAGTGGATCTGACACTCCTGCCAAAGAAGGGTGGTTGGCTTAGTATTTATTTTTTTTAAAGTGTCATCCGTGTGCATGGTGTGTGCAACATAATTTAAACACAGAGGTCCCTGCCTCCCAGGAGCTTACAATATAAATGTGCAGGGACACAGGGTATAAAGGGATGAAAGTGAACAAGCGTGAGTATACAAACTTTGCGTCTAGCTCACACACCAGATGCCATTGCACAACTGTTCCTGGATTGCTCCACTTCAGCCTGCAGCTAGGAGGCAACACATCCTTGGGCCAGGGGGAGAGGAGGGGTGGTGGTAGAATCCCAGCAGGTAGAAATCTAGCATGTCAGGGAGAGGGCTCAACTACAGATCTTCTCCATGACATCTAGTTTTATTTTTTAAAAAATGTGTGGAGTTTTATTTGTATGTAGAGAACAAACTATTATGGGGATCCTTGCTGCAGGCTGTGAACTAGCCTTCAGGCTTAACTCTAATTAAATTAGAGTAGTGAGTATTAATCGGCTGAGCCAAAGGTTTCATGGACAAGGTGATTAGGGTGAGCATGATAAAAGAGAGAGAGGTGATTCTATGGAAGTGTTCTGGGACAGAAGGCGTTACAGACTTAAAGGGAACTGAGTCACTTAAGGGGGCAGAAGAGAGCCCTTAGATCACAGTTCTAGATTAACAAAATGGCGCACCATCTTTTTCTCCCAGTACCCCCCCTCCCCTTATTTCCCACTGTGGCAAGTTGTGAAAGTGTGCCTTTTGGGAGTGTCAGGCAAAATGACATGTTTTGTATTGCTGCAGTCAACTGGTGGGTTGGCTGCTGCAATGAGCTCCACCCTTAAAACATTCAGAAGCTTGTGTTTGTGCAGAAAATGGGGGGAGGGGAATGCAAATACTCCATGAATTCTTTCGTTTCTTTAAAAAAAAAAAAACAAGATTGGCAAGCTGTTATTGATTTGTCCCCCCCCCCCAACATACATAGGAGCAATTGGGATGCACGGAACGGCAGTGGGAGGGAAGTGAGAAATGTTTGTTGTGTGCTTCAAAACACATAGACTTCTCCCCACCATGATTTTAAGATCATTAAGTCTATGGTCTAAAATCACCCATTGACTCTGAACCCTCACATCTTTTATCATCTTGGAGATTTAGCACTAGTTTGCTCATTTTGTTTTTATAGTTTACTTACAGATTTATAATCCGCTGGCGCTGTAGGTTAAACCACAGAGCCTAGAGCTTGCCGATCAGAAGGTCGGCGGTTTGAATCCCGTTGCTCAGTCCCTGCTCCTGCCAACCTAGCAGTTTGAAAGCACGTCAAAGTGCAAGTAGATAAATAGGTACCGCTCTGGCGGGAAGGTAAACGGCATTTCTGTGTGCTGCTCTGGTTTGCCAGAAGCTGCTTAGTCATACTGGCCACATGACCCAGAAGCTGTATGCCGGCTCCCTCGGCCAATAAAGCGAGATGAGCGCCGCAACCCCAGAGTCGGCCATGACTGGACCTAATGGTCAGGGGTCCCTTTACCTTTCAACCAGCATTCTCACAAAGATTTACATTACGCATGGAAACACATGTCACAATATTGTTATAAGACAGGAAGGGGGTTGAGTTAGATGACCTCTCAGGGTCCAGCCCTGTGTTAGCTGTCAAATGTCATTCAGCTCCATCCCCCAATCCTGCCTTATCCCAGGATCCTTCGAATCTGTGGGACTGGCTGAGTGTTTTGGTGAGCAAATGATGGCTGCAGTGAGAGGCTCTAAGATGCCAACAGAGGCTGTTTCTTGGCTGACCTCTTTGTACAGAGATCCAGGTTTTCCGTTCTGCCAGTTCTGGGTATATGTACGTGCTTCTTGATGTATTATGACATTTATAGGCAACCTTCTCCACCTTGCTCAAGGAAGAACTCAGCATTTAAAAGCACAACACAAAAGGCAATTACAAACAGATAAGAACTTCGCCAAAGTTCAAATACCAAGCACAAGCCCAGGCAATAACCAACCATTAAAATTCACAAGTATAGCCCAAATGAAAGTTCACTCCACTCCAAGTTAAAATACCAAAGTGCCCTTTTGGAAGGAAGCAGGAGTATCTCTGGAGAAGGGATGGTTTAGGGACCAGAAGGGCATCTTGGCTGTAGACACTGAATTATCATTTTCAGAAGGAATGCCTCTATCCCATGTCAGTTTCACTCCTCCATTTCAGCCACCACGTCCCTAAATACAATAGAAGAGTTGACCAGAGATGCACAGAGCTGTTAAAACCCGAAGTTCCTTATCCATATGTTGTTCCTCATGTGAGAGATTGGGGAGGGGGGCAGCAGCGTGCACCAAACGTGTCTTGGGAGGGGATAGTGGTGAAGACCAGCCCATGAAGGACAATCTTCAGGGAAGCCTGGAGGAAAGATCTGGAGTATTTCAAAGTTTGTGGGTGCGGAGGGGAGCTGCTCTTCGAATCCCAGTTCTTAACCCACCTTCCTCTTGAGCTGGGTAAGGAGCTTGGGATTTTTCAGATAAGGAACAGGGGAGCCAACTCCAGCCTCCTCAAGCGACCAGCTGAGGAGAAAAACTCTTGACAGGCTGCGTTTTCTTGCTGCTCAGCAATCTTCCGCTGCTACCCAGGGACTCCGAGGTGATGTCTTTGTTCAGTCGTAGACCCCTCCTTTCTCATCCTCCGTTAGAAGAACTAATTTGGTTGCTCAACAGAAGCAACCCTCTCTCTCTCTCTCTCTCTCACACACACACACACACACACAGAGAGAGAGAGAGAGAGAGAGAGAGGAAAACCAACCATTCCTAAAGCTTGCGGGCATGAAAAGCTTAGTCAAACCCATTGTTAGCACTCCTCTAACCGCCCCAGCTCCGCAACACAAATGTGATTAATTCTCTTGGGAGAGGTACATATGGAGGAGGGGGATATGCGGGCTCCCCTCCTACTCTCTCTCTCTTCGTGGAAAAAGAAAATGAGATGATCTTTCTCTTTAGGAGGAGAAAGATGGAGCCGATTGCGAGGAAGTTAAACACTTCGCTCCCTAACTAGGCTGGAGTGGGTTGCAACCTGTTTCTCCACCTCTTCTCATAGGCTCTCGCCCAATTGCAGTTCCCCCTCCCCTTCCTGATGGGCAGATGGGAGAGCCTGAATCGCAGCCCCTTTGCTGTCTGATTTTGACAAGCACCCCGAGTGCCTCTGGACTGGATCCTTCGCGGAGGTCCAAGCAAGGAGGTGGAGGGGGGGAAGCCCCCCCTCTTTTCTTTTCTTTTTTGTTGCCTCTAAACAAAGCCAGGAGGAGGAAGAGGAGGAGGAGGACGGGTCTGATTTAAAGCCTCGGTGCAGAGAGCTCCACGTAAAAAGAGGCAGAATCTGAGCTCGCCTCCCCAGCAAAAGCAACAGCAACCACCTGCTTCCTTTTCCTGCAAATTACACCATGGCTCTTTTTGCTTGCTGGGTTGGCCGATTTGGGTTGGGGTGATTTTTATCATTACTCTTTTTGCAACGCCTTGTGTTTCGTGTTAAAAGGATCGCATGCCTCTCTGCTAAACGTTGCTTCCAGAGGAATGGAGGAGTCGTTGAACGCGGGGTTTTAAAAGCATCACCAAGAGAGAGAGAGAGAAAGAAGGAGGTGCTCTGGTGGGAACGCCAAACCCCCACCCCCAACCCGCTCACACACACCTTTACTGCTGCTTGCTACTTTGTGGAAAGGAGGGGCCCCTGATCGGATCACCTCTCTCTTTTCCTTCCAGGATGGCTCGCTTTGGAGAGGCGATGGCTGGCAGGCTGGGATCCGGAGATGGAGCTGCCGAGCAGAACAGGAACCGCCAGGGAGCCCCTGCCCCTTCGGGGGGGACCCCGGTAGCGTACAAGCAAACCAAAGCCCAACGGGCCAGGACTATGGCACTGTACAACCCTATACCCGTCCGTCAGAACTGCTTCACAGTCAACAGATCTCTCTTCATTTTTGGGGAAGACAACATTGTCAGGAAATATGCCAAGAAGCTGATCGACTGGCCATATCCTTTTCCCCTGTGTCCCCTTTCCATCTGACCTCCCCCTCCCCAATGTATTCCCGTGACTGGTACCTGCTGAGCCAGCAACTGTGGGCAAAGGTAAGCTTCCGTCTCCCATTCCATTGTGTAGCTGGAGGACCACACCGAGAGAGAGTGAGACCAAACCACATGCATGTCCCAACTCTCTTCCTTCCCATTCCCACTAGCCCACCTAGGCATGCTTGCAATTCTAGCCTTGCTGCTTGGGGAACCTGTATTCCTCTTCACCTTGCTCCAGCAGTTTGCACTGGGCTGGGCTGCAGAGGACAGACTGGCTTGGCTCTTTTGAGACAGCCACAGCCCAGCTTGTTGGCTGAAGAGATCTGGAATAGAATGCAATAGGATCCAGCCAACTCTAAAGACTACAAGTTCTTGAGCATCTAGGGGCATGTTCTGATGGCAAAATAATGGCTGAGCAAAGGGGAACTTGAGTTCATATTTAATCGTTAGTTCCACATGCAAAAGCCAAGGTTCTCATTTTCTCAAGAAATGGAAGGGTTCCCTGGGGCTTAATCAGGGTGCTTCACTACCTGCCTCAGTAAAACATTTGGCCTTTTCGTAACAAATACATGCCAAGTGGGCATTGCGGTGCCTTTGATTCTGGTGTGGTGCAAGAGTAGGCAAGCTTTCAAATGGCACAGAATTCTTCATCAGGCAAGGAAATGCATCCTTTTTTTTTGCACCAATGGAAGTTGACCTGGTTGTAAGAATTGCCTGCCATTGGTTGAAATGGAGATATGTGCAGAAAAACCTCTCTCTTTTTTGACACAAACAGTCCCTTGAGCAGAGTAGAACCCCACTGGTTAAATGGGTGATTTATAAATTTTGAAAACAAACAAACAAACAAAATTCCTATCCTTTTTTTTCTCTGCGGTAAATAATCGATTTAAAACAAACAAACAAACAAACCTTAATCTCAATTCCCTTTACACACCATATTCACCATAAGTTAGCACATTGATGACCAACATGCCATGCGGTTCTTGCCAAACTCTCTTTGTTTGCACCCTGACTCTTTTGTAACAGCACTCCTGTAGAACTGGCTGTGGGAACAGGTGTGCTGCTCAGGTGAGGCATTGCCAGCCCCACACTCTGCTTGCCAGCATCACCACATCATTCCGGGTGGAAGAGGCCATGTGGTCTTCTGTCACCGAATGGACTCCAAAGAGTTAGGAGGCTGAGCTTAGGGCACCTGAACCAGAGTAAGCCGACTGCGAGTTAAATCGGACTGAGCTCTGCACACACACCTTTGCTATTTACAGCAGCAGCATTCGCTGATAGTTTGCCATTAACTAATTGGAGCTGGAGCCCTCTGCCCCCCCTCCTTTTGGACTCCAAAGCACAAGACACTGATGCATGGCATAAGTGCCTTAACTGCCTCAAGCCCACCCGCCGCCCACCCTTTCTCCCTGCCAGGCTTTTGTATTGCTGATTTCCAGTTCTAGCTATTCCGCCAAACAGCTCTTTTCGCTGCACTTGGCACACCCATGCTGCCAGTTGAGGGGGCTGCCCCTCGCTGTCGAGGGGATTGTGCCTTTGTCTCATTGAACTGAGCAGCCTAAGCAATACTGAGGTCACAATCAACACTGCAGAAGGTAACCCAGAGACCTCCAGCCCTCTCCATTCAGTACCAAGGACAGCTCCCAGATCTCTCTCTCTCTCTCTCTCTCTCTCTCTCTCTCTCACACACACACACACACACACACTCACTCTAGATTTCTTAATGCGGCTTTTGCCCACCTAGTGCCCTCCGGATGTTTTGCACTACAACTCCCATCGGCCACAGGCCTGGGCTGGGCACCAGGTTGGCAAAGGCTGTTGTGACACTTAACACTCTTTTATCTACCTTTGCTGCTGCTGTTGTGAGGTTGGTTAAAGAATATTCAACGGCTAGGTCTCGCCATTTCAGAGAATGTTGATATATGCAGCGAGAATTCTATTTTGAGTTACTGATTTTGCCAAATGGGCATATATTCAGAGCGAAGGGGTGTGCGATCTCGCGTAAGCTTGGTGTGGACTGCATCGGAAGCCTCTTGCTGCTGTTGGCAGCCCTGCCCAGAACTGTGCCTCTCAAAGAGTGGTTGGTTCATTGGATTTCTCTCTCTGTTTGGCCGAGGGTGTGTGTTTGTGTGGAAGGAGGGCCTGCACAGAATAAACATCCCCGTTCACTAGGCTCACAGAGACATGTTGCATCCTCCTGGTCGTAGAGACTAAACCACCCAGCATCCAACGTGAAAGGCAGGTTCTACCTCCACTGCAACTGGTCCCCTAAGTGTAAGTGTTCCTTCACAGCCCATCCACATCGAGGAGAAAGTAAAAGGGATGCATTTGGAGACATTCCTGCGATGGCAATGACTGCAACATTTGGAGCAAGGCTTGTCCTCTCTCCACAGTGTTTCAGCTCGCCCCCTGTTTCCTCTCTATAGAACTCAGCGGGAACTACTGAGAACTGATCCTGCTTCTGTCTGCTCCTTCACCTTCATAGCCCCACCCTGGCATTTGTCTCTTGCTTATCCTCAGGTGTGAATCTAGTGTGTGGTCAAATCCAGATACTGACTTTTATAGGAAGCAGGAGTGCCAGCTTGGCTCTTGCACCCATATTTGTGGGTGCCCGGTCCTTTCTTGGGGAATTTTGTGGGTGTTCAGGCACCCAGGGCCCCAGGGAGTTGGCACCTAGGATAGGAAGGTAGATGGCCATTCTTTATAGCACAATGACATGCTTTCTCTTCATTTTTGACAACACACGTTTTTCAGCACCGGCCACTTTTTCATGACCAGAAAGCAAAATATCCAGAGTGCCTTATTCTGCAGAATCTAGGAGCAGGATTTCATTGGCCCATAGAGTATTTTCAGGTGCAGGGGACAGTTCCATAAGTTCTTAACCAGCCAACGTAACAATAAGCAGATGACCACATAGTCTAGGAAGCAACATTAGAGGGGGGAAACAAGCCCAGGGCATACCTGTTGTAGCAGCAGCAGCAGCAGCTGGAGCTTCCTTGTGGAGGCCTCCCTCCTCATGCTTCTCAAAACAATGTTCCTAGAGCAGGGGTGCACAACCTGTGGCACTCCAGTTGTTTCTGGACTACAACTCCCATCAGCCCCAGCCAGCATAGCAAGAGATCAGGGATGATGGGAGTTGTAGTCCAGAAACATCTGGAGGATCGCAGGTCGTGCACCCCTGTCCTAGAACATTTATTCTCTCCTCTGTCTCTGTACACAACAACAAGGGAAGTAAGGGGAAGCACAAGAGAGGCTGATACGGTGCTACCAAGCATTGCAGCCATGTTGCAGCCAGAAATTGCCAACTTCTTTAGATGCTTCATACATGCCCGGACACTGGGGCTTGGCCTTCATGATGGTGGCTTCTGGCTTATCCAGATCATTTCTCTATGTCTCTGTGTGCTCGTGTCTCAGAGCCTCATCAGACACAGCAGATAAATAAGAGGGTGCAACATTAGCCTTCGTAGCTGGCAGGTGTTCCAAAGTCTCTGGGTTGTCCAGTTCTGTTATAAATGCTAGGGGCCTGGCCATCTGCTCCCAACTAAACAACAGAGCACTCCCTCCTGCTGGCTGCATACATCTCACTCTTGTTCCAGCAATTTACCTCGGGGTGCCCTTGCTTGGAGAACTCTGCTCCTAATGTGGGTCCAGGAACTGGCACTGTTGTCCTGGTTATAGCCCTGGCCAAGGGTGACCTTTATACCTAGGTGAGGAGGCTGAGAACCGAAAGGGTGGTCCCATGGGCCATAAAACATACCATGAAGCTGTGAGGAGATTTTCGCTCCTTGAGTCAGCCCACTGACAAGTGCACCCCACCTGGGAATTGCATGCACGCTCCCCGGACAGAGAAACGTGGGGCACAATGGGCTTATGTGAATGTGTTTGTTTACTAAGTCTCACTCAGTGCATGCCTCCATTTGGTCTGGAGGCCCTCTACACTTTCAGCCTCCCATGGAAGAGTTGGTCTTTGCTTGCTAGGTGTTGTGCCCGGTGGTAAAGGAGACGCAACCCATCAAAGCAGTTCCACTTGTCCTGCTTTTGTGTTAGTTAGGCTTTGCTCTGCCATATTGAATAGTTTAAAAGCTAAGTACCTCCCTATGGCGTTGCTGCTGTGTTTTATGCTGGTTTCTAAGAAATAAAATAAAATTATTTGGGTGGGGTTCTCCCTGTTGTGATGCATCTTTTCCTGGTTTTAGCATTTTCTCGGGAATTCCATTTTGCTTTTAATGTCTCTGTAAAACACCCGGAAAATCTGGCTGGATGTGTGCACTAGGCAATTCAATAAGTACTTACTTTTGCTGACTTGCAGCAATTTGGCACCATCCATTGGGTCTCTCTCCTGCAGGTGCCCCGCTGGAACTCTTTTTACAGGTCTTCTTTTACTTCAGTGGAGCTTGTGGTGAAAATGGTGCCCAGTATGGGAGGGTTGTTCATTGCCAGTGTGCGTGAAGCAGATATGCAATATTCCTGGCACTTTCATATTTAGCTGGCTTCAAATCTGCTGAAAATATTTAGCTGCGTATTGTATCTGTAGGTCCTCCAGTTCATGCATCTTGCGCAATGGCTTAACTATGCAAAAGAGCTATATATCCTTGCCTAACTTCTTAAATGAGGGATGCGGGTGGCGCTGTGGGTAAAACCTCAGCGCCTAGGGCTTGCCGATCGCATGGTCAGAGGTTCAAATCCTCGCGGCGGGGTCAGCTCCCGTCTTTTGGTCCCAGCTCCTGCCCACCTAGCAGTTCAAAAGCACCCCTAAGTGCAAGTAGATAAATAGGTACTGCTGTATAGCGGGAAGGTAAACGGCGTTTCCGTGTGCTGCGCTGGTGCTGGCTCACCAGAGCAGCTTCATCACGCTGGCCACGTGACCCAGAAGTGTCTCTGGACAGCGCTGGCCCCCGGCCTCTTAAGTGAGATGAGCGCACAACCCTAGAGTCGGACACGACTGGCCCGTACGGGCAGGGATACCTTTACCTTTAACTTCTTAAATGAGGGCTTGTC